TTGCCAACATTTGTTCAGCTTTTACATAGACCTCATGGCAGATAACATCACAATAGCAAGAGCACGAATGAATGAGAGAGAGAGAGAGAGAGAGAAGAGAGAGAGAGAGAGAGAGAGAGAGAGAGAGAGAGAGAGAGAGAGAGAGAGACTAGAGTGATTTACAGGCTGTGGTCCATCCAGTTCAACAATGACAGTCTTCTAACAGAAAAGCCATGAATCTGATAGTTGTTCAGTCTATGAGGCTTAATGTCTCATCTGGTCTTTCTTTGTGGAAATCCTGAAGAATTGGCATCTATTACCATGGAAGGGATGCCCCTGCAGCAGGATAGATGAATTTGCCAGCGAGAGCGAGGAAAAGCACGCAAAAAGTGAAAGCTTCCTTCTTCCGTGTCCTTTTATGTGGGCTGCCACCAGAAGGTGTGACCCAGATTTAAGACAGTCTCTGCCTTCAAATGATACAGTCAAGAGAACCCTCCACAGGAGTGCCCAGCGGCTTGGATTTGAGTCAGTTCCGTATGTAGTTAAGTTGACAACCAAAATTAGCCATCACACTGGTTATTATTAATTTGAGTGTTTCAGCCTGTCCTGCGTTAACGAGGAGGCTAGAATCTCCTAAGGCTTCTTCACGGTGACTTCCCATTTTCCATCCAGTTCCTGGGCCACCTCACCTGGGTGACTTCCTCACTGAACCCCTCCAGCCGAGACGAGCTCCTGCAGCTGCTGGACACTGCCAGGGTGAGGCGCTGGGGAAGAGGGAGGAGGGCAGGGTCTCCTTCCCTTCCCCCAGTCCTCGGGGACTCAGGAGATCCGACCCACCCCGCAGCAGCTGAAGGAGCTGCCTCTGAAGACCACGCCGGAGCAGGACAGCATCCTGAGCCTGTCGGCACGCTGCCTGCTGCTCACTTGGCGGGACAACGAGGAGCTCATCCTGCGCATCCCCACGCACGAGATCGCCGCTGCCTCCTACCTGCAGGACGACGCGCTGCATCTGCTAGTGCTTAAGACTGGTGCGGTGCAGGGAAGCGGGGTGGGGAGGCCAACCTGCAGTGCTAGGGCCATTGAGTGAAGAGCACCAGGGATGGGTCCGAGGCTGGGAGAGGGATAGCAGAAATCTGAGCACACTATTCTGAGACTGGGGGCGGGCAGAAGAAGCCATAGGCGAGACCAGACAGCCTGGGGTTGCTGATGAGGAGTGGGCAGCCTGACCAGATTGAGGAGGTTGGGTAGGACGGAGAAATTGGGAGTCCCGAGTTCCACGCAGGGCTACTTTAGTAGAGTTCAACGTTAAAGGAGGTGGTAGAAGACGTAGGGGGCACCCTCGGGCTAGGGGAGGACTGGGGTCTGGCCTTCTGGGAGGTTACAGTCAGCGATCTGGGAGTGGGACTGAAGATAGCAGAAGTCGTACTGGAAGGCAGGGATGCTTAGACCAGGGTCACCGTCCAAAGGAAGGGTACGGAGAAAGGGGACAACTTGACCACCGCCTTCAATTCAGAAAGCAGGCCCGAAGGGAAGGGCCCTCGGGTGTGTAGGGAAGGATGGGAACTAAGCTACTGCCACCCAGGAGATCTGGGGAGGAGCCAAAGTCTGGAGGCGGAGTCATAGGCCCAGGGCCGGGCGGGGAGGGGCGGGCGAAAGTCACGACATCAGAGCCTGGGCTCTGGTGCTGGGCGGGACCTTAGAGCAGGGACCCCAGAACTGTGCGGTGGCCCTCCGGGTGGCCTCCGCAGCCTGCTGCTGACCCCCCGCCCCCCGATCCGCGGCCTCTCCTAGGTCTGGGCGTGGACCCGGTGCCGGCGGGCGTGGACGCCAGCCCCGGAGGTACGGGGCGAGATCCGGGCCCTCCTGGCGCCGCACCCGAAAAGCGGCGGGTGGGCACCGCCGAGCGACGCCACACCATCTGCAGCCTGGACTGGCGCATGGCGTGGGGCGGGGGTGCGGGCGCCGAGGCCCGG